GGGGGGGGGCTGGAACATGGGGACAATTCTAAAAAAAACATGTTTTCTAGGGATATACTTTGAAAAACTCGTATAGCCTCTTAGAAAACGGAAATTTCCACTCACTATTTAGTGGATTCACCACTGGAACAATAATACCACCAAATTCTCGTGTTGTTGGCCTGACATCGAAGGCTGAGAGTACGCGGTTCGATGACTCTTGGAGTGGAAAACCGGAGGCGTTCAAAATGTATATACCAATAACCGGGTGAACGTGTATAACCCACGTAGGAGTACTCGAGAACGGTATGCACTCGTGCTAATTCCACCAAGAATGCGATTCCCATATAAACCAAACGACCGAGAGATCGGAGAGTTGAAGTGAACCTGTACTGAAGAACTGTTATGTAATCACTATTCTAATATTAAGCGGTAATGAATAATTTCTGTGCGTGATAAAGAGCTATTTTTTAAAATGACAAGTCGATGATCTTTTCATTCCGATGGTAGGAGAGTTTATTACCAGAATGAAATTCAAAATTGACGTTTTAATGTACATTAGGGTAATTATGCAATATCTGGTATGCAATTCATTGACGACAAGTACCGCTATATTGCCAGGATGGACTTACTCTCAATTCACGACACGAAAGACTTGGAGCGCCTTTCTCAACGTGATCGTATGCAGCTGAGATAGGAATGGGTGGTGGTTTGATAATAAGAAGGAAATATAAAAAAGAGAGAATTAGACGCCGAGTAACGGATTGTTACTGAGTCGTTTTGAAGGTGGAGTGATGTCATCAACATGACAAGTGCATTCGCTGTGAGAAATGTTGAAATGTTTTGAAAATTAACATCGCGAAGTTCAAAGTATATGTTGGGAATGGAATTATTGGAGGTTTTTCTAGTTCAGTGGATGTGTTTTCGATGAAAACTTGCATTTCTCAATCTATCAAAGCATAATACCCAGTCTCATATTTCCCAATGGGATGTGAGCTGTGTACGCTGTAATCATTCGTAGATTAACATCAAACAACCAATGATAAGGATCGACGTTTCGCATATTTGGCACAAAACATTTTTTGGCATAAGTAAAACTTGTTTGAGAGCTCTGCTGTTTTTCTCCCCGTGTAGAAGAAAGGAATCTTTCCCCAGCAGAAGAAAATGTTAAAATCAGAGAGCCTTCTCTGGAGTATTCTCGTAAATCTCTTCCGTTTCAAATTGTCTTTTCCAACGAATTCGTAATTATCGGTAATAAACAATCTCAACTGACACAAAAACCATCGGCTAATTCACATTCACTTTTGCCGATTGTATTTCAAGAAATGTCATTAGTTTATCATTTAAATATCCTCTTATCATATTTGTGGTATACATCACGGGTTATCATCCATTCTAATGAGCATCATTAACCTACATTGACAAAGAGAAACATGAACATAAGTAACTCCATGGCGTTCAAATGTGGACACACATCGTCTCGCAAATCCGCTACTTTCGTCTTTTTTCTCAATATTCTAAAAGCGTTAATTTTTATTTTTCCGAATGGCCTTGATGAACGGCGCATTATAAGCGATCAAACGGCATTCCAAACATCGCTGCAACTGCGGTACGCCTTATGCTCGCAAACACAGCACTGGGTAACCAGATAAAATTGCTTATGTATAGCGTGTTGAGTGCAACTATCGCTCTGGGGTACTTCACCGTGATTTCTTGACATTTTAAGGGATAAAACATTCGGAATTCTTCGAGGAATAATGCAATTGACTTGGATTAGGAAGAGAGATTTTTTTCCCACTTCTTCTCCTCGGTGTTTCCTTCCTTTTTCCATATTCTGTTTTCTTCTTCTCCCTTCGTTACGGTAAACCTATCCCCCACTTGGATTGAATAACTCAGTGTCTTATTATTAGCATCCCAAGGCCTTTGCCGACTCATCACTTTTTCCCGATCTCGGATCAGATAAGGATAATCACAATGAGAATGCGATACAGAAACACTGTCGATGGAATTTTTTGGGCTATTTTACATGAATGGTGCAATTTTTTTATCTAAAAAAATTAAGAAATTGGCTGTGTAGGTGTTGAATTTGAAAAAACTAATTCGTAATCATTGCACATATTTTTTAAACATTTGTGCATTTGAATTGTAGGCGCAATTATCGACGAAACTTCGAGAGGTTTGTAAATTTGAAATGATGTATCCTGTTTTTAGCTGAATAAACCTGAGATAGATTTCCAGCTCTATAAAAATATATATTTTTTTGGAAATCTGTTCAATTGGGGGTTTATTGCATTGTAGGTGAGATTGGAGAGTATTGGAGCTGAGGATATTGTTGATGGGAATCCAAGGCTGATACTTGGGCTCATATGGACGATAATTCTTCGATTTCAAATACAAGAAATTGAGATTGATGTTGATGAGGAGAATGAGAGCAGTGAGAAGAAGTCGGCGAAGGATGCGTTGTTGCTCTGGTGTCAAAGGAAGACTAATGGATATCCAGATGTCAATATTCAAGACTTTACAGGCTCCTGGCGAAGTGGTCTGGGCTTCAACGCCCTCATCCACGCTCACCGCCCGGACCTGGTCACCTGGTCCGAACTCCAACAAGGAAAGCACATTGACAATCTCAACTACGCCTTCGACGTCGCCAATTCCGAGCTCGGGATACCGCGACTGCTGGACGCCGAGGACGTTGACACCGCTCGCCCCGACGAAAAATCAATCATCACCTACGTCGCCTCCTACTATCACACCTTCGCCCGAATGAAGAATGAGATAAAATCCGGCAAAAGAATAGCCAACATCGTCGGCCAAATGATGGACGCTGACAAAATGAAAATTCACTACGAAAAACTTACTGCGAACCTCCTTGAATGGATAAAGCACAAAATAACGGTGCTGGAGAATCGAAATTTTCCCAATTCACTGGAGGGTATCCAGCGCGAATTACTAGGATTTAAGCAGTACCGTACAGTTGAGAAACCGCCAAAGTATAAAGAACGTTCGGAAATCGAGGCCTTGTACTTCCACATAAATACGCAGTTAAAATCCCTCAATCAGCCGGCATTTATCCCCCAAGAGGGCCAACTGGTGCAGGACATTGAGAGAAATTGGGTGGAACTAGAACGCGCCGAGCACCGACGAGAGGTCGCCTTGCGCACAGAACTGCTTCGCCAAGAGCGACTCGAGCAGTTGAACTACAAATTCGAGAAGAAAAGTGTGCTGCGCGAGGGCTACCTCAAAGAAATGATTCAAGTTCTCTCGGACCCCCGATACGGCAGCAATTTGGCCCAAGTAGACGCAACAGTGAAGAAACACGAGGCGATAAGCGCCGACATACTGGCCCGTGAGGAGAGGTTCCACGACTTGACGAACATGTCTGAAGAGCTCGTCAGGGAGAATTACCATGGGCTCGAGCGGGTGCGATCGCGCGAGCAAGAAGTATTAGAGAGATGGAAAGAGCTTCTGGCCCTCCTCGATCACCACAAATCCAATTTAGCAGCCCTGTGCTCGCTGATGTCCCTCATGAGAGAAATCGACACGACATTGGCGACGATCCAAGAGCTCCAGCTGAACTTCCAAAGCACTGATGTTGGCCCACACCTGCTGGGGGTGGAGGACCTCCTCCAGAAGCACAGCCTGCAAGAGCTCCAGGTGACAGCCCTCGGCGAGACCCAACGACGATTAGGCAGACAAGCTGCCCAGCATTTGGCGCAGCCACTGAGCAAAGAGGCTCCGTTACTCCAGCAAAAACTCGAAAGACTCAACAGCACTTACGACGATCTCGTTGAGAATAGCAAGGAGAGAAAGGCGCGTTTGGAGGACGCTAGGAATTTCTTTCATTTCTTGCAGGATCACGAGGACGAGGAGTCGTGGTTAGTTGAAAAACAGCGTATTTGTAAAGCTGGCATTTCAGCTAAGGATTTACGAGCTGTCATATCTCTCCAGCAGAAACACAAGGCTTTGCAGGATGAGATTAAAGTGCGCAGACCGAAATCCGAGCAGCTGTGCAGCGCTGGAAAGAAATTGATTGGTGATAATCATCCATCATCGCTGGAGATACAGAATAGAATTGAGTCGTTGCAGGAGCACTGGAAGGTGCTCGAGGAATTGGCAGCGCTGCGTAAAAAACAGTTGGACGATGCTGCTGAGGCTTTCCAGTACTACGCCGATGCCAACGAGGCTGACTCGTGGATGAATGAGAAGATGGCACTGGTGGCTTCTGAAGACTACGGAGTTGACGAGCCCAGTGCTCAAGCACTGCTCCAGAGGCACAAAGATCTGGAGGGCGAGCTGAATGCGTACAAAGGTGACGTTCAATCGTTGAACAGTCAGGCTGACAAGTTGGTTAGAGCTGGGATATCTGCTCTGGAGCTTTCAGCAGATCCAGAGCCAGTTGCTGAGCTTGAGCAGGAGGAGTGGAGCAAGGAGGTCCGTCTGGTACCCCAGGACGAGTGGGTGGACGAAATCATCGAGCGTATCGAGCCCAAGACCATTCTCGAGGACAGATTGTTCCCACAGGTGAAGAGCTTGTACCCATTCAGTGGCCAGGGTACGCACATGGTCAAGGGCGAAGTCATGTTCCTCATGAATAAAACGAATACCGACTGGTGGAATGTCAGAAAGGCCGACGGCTCGGACGGCTACGTTCCCGCTAATTATGTCCGCGAAATTGAGCCCAAAGTAATACAGGTGCAAGTCAAGAGGCCGGAGAAGGTGCGTGTGACACAGCGAGTGAAGAAAACAAAAATGGTTAATCAAGTGATACCAGTTAGGAGAGTTAAATCGATAAAATCAACAGTCAAGCCGATAAAACGTAAGGCTGTTAACGACAGTGATAATGTTGAAAAAAGACAGAAAAGAATCAACGACACGTACAATGAGCTTTGTCAATTATCAACGAAACGTCACGCCTTGTTGGAGGATGCCATCAGGCTTTACGGCTTCTACCGCGAGTGCGATGACTTTGAGAAATGGATTAAAGATAAGGAGAAGATGCTGCGCGCCGACGACTCCAAGGATAACGTTGAGACAGCCAAGAGAAAATACGAAAAATTCTTGACAGATCTGTCGGCCTCTGGGAAGCGAGTTGAGGCCATTGATGCTGCTGTTGATGATTTTGTTAAGCAAGGTCACAGTCAGTTGGACAAAGTTAAAGCGAGACAGAGGCACATTCACCAGCTGTGGGATCACCTCAATTGGCTGAAAGCGCAGAAGGAAAAATCATTGGAAGGTGCATCGAGTGTTGAGTTGTTCAATCGAACGTGCGACGAGGCGCACGATTGGATGCTGGAGAAAATAACTCAATTGGACACTGCGGAGTTGGGGCCAGACTTGAAGACGGTTCAGGCACTTCAGCGCAGGCACCAGCATTTAGAGAGAGAGCTGGCTCCTGTGGAGGAAAAAGTGCGCAAAGTTAATCTACTCGCCAATAGTGTCAAGTCTTCTTATCCAAATGAGCATGATAACGTCAATGCGAGGCAGAATGAGATCAAGGAATTGTGGCATAAAGTGCAGACCAAGGCGAAGGAGCGCAGATCGAGACTGGAGGATGCTGTGGGACAGCAAATTTTCATGAACAGCTCGAAGAGTCTCATTCACTGGGCAACTGACGTTCAAGAAGCTATGAAAGCTGAAGAGCCAGTTCGTGATGTTGCCACTGCTGAAAAACTCCAGAAACAACACACGGAGCTCGGTGAAGAGGTAAAAACACGAGAGGATGAGTTCAGGGAAGTGGAGGATCTGGGTAATCAGCTGCTCCACAGAAATCCAGCTCTGCATGAGGTGCGCGAGCGTTTGGATAAATTACATGGGCTTTACCAGGCAGTCACGTCAAATTGGAATGCCAAGGAGGAGTGGCTGCGCCAGTGTCTGGAATTGCAGCAATTTAATCGGGAGGCTGATCAGATCGAGGCCACCACGAGCTCCCACGAGGTGTTTCTGGAGTTTACGAATCTTGGGGAGTCTCTTGATGATGTCGAAGCACTGCTCAAGCAGCATGAGAAGTTTGAGAATACCCTGCATGCGCAGGATGAGCGACTCAAGGCTTTCAGTGATACTGCTGATCGATTGATTGCGCAGAATCATTATGACAGGGATTATGTCAATGATAAGAGGGATCAAGTGCTCTCTAGGAGAGCTGCTGTCAAGGATGAGGCGCAGGCGCGGAGAGCTGCACTCAAGGCTTCGGAAAATTATCAACAATTTTGCGCGGAAGTTGATGATCTCAGGGATTGGCTGGGGGACAAGATGAAGGTTGCGTCGGACGAGAGCTACAGGGATTTGAATAATCTGGAGAGGAAACTGCAGAAACACGAGGCGTTCGAGAGAGAACTGAGGGCCAATGAGGGGCAACTGCGAGCTGTTAATAAAGCTGGCAAAGCTCTCATCTCGGAGCAGAATTATCGGTCCAGTGATGTTGGAGATACGCTGAAGGATCTGAATGATCAGTGGGGCCAGTTGGTTTCTCTGTCGCTGGAGAAAGGGAGAAGGCTGCGGCAGGCTGCCTCGCAGCATGGCTACAACAGGACCATGGAGGACGCTAGGCTGAAGTTGGAGGAAATTGAGAACTCGTTGCAGAGTAAACAAGTTGGTACGGATTTGAGGAGCTGCAAGGAGCTGCTCAAGAAGCATCAGATTTTGGAGACTGATATGTGCCAGTGGGAGCAGAAGGTCGATGATCTCGTGGCCATGGGCGAGGAGATGGCGCATGAGGGACATTTTGATGCGCCCAATATTTTGAAGACTAGCCAAGCGACGCAGAAGAAGTAAGTTTTCTTTTTTTTATTCGGTTAATCGATAATGATTCCTTTAAAAAAATTAGAAATATTCACTTAATGGAAAATTTACAATTCTATATTGTTAAATATTTAATTCATCCAATTTATTATTGGGAGTACTGATGAGAATAATAATGCTCCATTCAGTAGAATGGTAAATTATTGAACATAATGTCCTGCAATTCAAAATAATTTACAATACTGAAAAATGATTCTCCTTATCAATATACAATGACTCATTTTCTCAATACCTTCTCCAGGTTTCGCAGTCTGAAAGAGCCAGCTAGAAAGCGACGAGACGCTTTGGAGGAGAGCCTTCGTTTCCATAAATTTGGATTTGAACTTGATGCAGAGTTGCAATGGATCAAGGACCACTACCCTCAGGCATCGTCAACAACTCTTGGCCAAAATCTTCATCAAGCCCAGACTCTCCACAAGAAGCATAAGAAGTTGGAAGCTGAAATAGTTGGTCATCAACCGATGATCGATAAGACTCTGGCGACAGGGCAATCACTCATCGACCAGACTCACCCAGAACGAAAAAAGGTAAAATTCGCTCATTTTTTCTAATACTAAATGCGATCAGAGAATGTTCAGCACTTTTATCACAGAGTGGAACATATGAGTAAATTAAATTTCTGCACAGTTGGGGCACTACCGAGATACAGTGGTCATCGGAGGTAAGAGAGGATGCATGCAGGAGTTATAACGAAATGTTTTGAAGAAATTTGCAATTATTACATTGTTTCAGCTTTTATTGACAGTTTTTTCATTATTATGTCCAGTAATTTACAATTTACTGACCACATTCGACCACTGTGGCTTTCCGGACCAGCACAATTTAATCACTGCTTAAATTACTTTTCAGTTATCCAGTTATTAACTATAAGATTGCATGTGTGACAGCAATAGTGGAGTGGTAAAAAATAAAATCTCTGTTAATGATACTTTTCCGTAACCGGACAAATGTTTTTCAATTGATGTAAAATTACGTCGACTCAAACTACCACTCCTCTACTTGAATAAATTTATGTTGAAAGTGAAGTTTTGTTTTTTCGCAAAAATTTGAAGAATCCGAAGACATCCAGCGATAGAAGATAATTTAAAAAACGTAATTTTCATAGTCTATTAATTTGTAAATGCCTCACGGACGTGCAGATTTATGAAAGGCAATAAACCAATTATCCTCATTACGTCAGAACATCGCTAAACAAACACTTTGTTTTTTCACTCAAACATTTTTATGGATTTCTCTTCAAATTTTGGGGTTTAAACTCCCATTTTAGTCAATGTTTTACCTCAATGTTCACGAGACCTCATGCCTCAATCAATCATTTAGTGACTCGACAAAATTATTCACAGATTCAAGAGCTCTGCGAGGAGTTGGATGAGGCTTGGAAGGACCTCCAGGAGAAAGGACTAGAGCGCAGTCGTGCCCTGGACCTCTCGCTCAGAGCTCAAGAATTTTTCTTCGAAGCGGGAGAGGTCGAGAGTTGGTTGGGCGAAAAGAACGACGTCCTGAGCTCAACGGATTACGGAAGAGATCGCGATGCTGCGACAAAATTACTCACAAAGCACAAGGCCATGGAACTAGAATTAGACTCTTACAACGGCATCGTAACAGAAATGGGTCACACAGCGGGTGCTATGGTAAACGCCAAGCATCCTGATAGCAAAGCCATTGCTAACAAACAGCAAGTGATTGCCCAGCAGATGAGGGCACTCCAGAGACTGGCGACGACTAGACAGCAACGATTGATGGAGAGCATGTATCGACACGAGTACTTCCTCGAGAGTAGAGAACTGGAACAGTGGATCAAGGAGCAGGAGCAAGCCGCTGCCTCGGAGGATTATGGACAGGATTACGAGCATTTACTCATTCTCCAAGCGAAATTCGATGATTTCAAGCACAGAATCGAGGCGGGCTCTGAGCGATTCAATCAGTGTGAGGAATTGGCTAAAAAATTGATCACTAATGAGAGTCCGTATATTCAAGACATCGAGAAACGTCAGGAACAACTTGGGTACGTCCCCACTTATTGTTATTTCTTTTATTTGCTGTTTTTATTTGGTTGGTAGATTTGACAATTTCAGTTCTTGAATGGAGTTCGATAGGGACATGTAGTAAACCATTCAAGTTGAGCAGAATCATTTCGTGAGGATTGATGTCACGAGGAAATGGTGATGTTCGACTTGATGTGTTTTAATACATGTGCATATTAGGTAAACTTATTCCTGTTTTGTAGGTACACGTATGATACATTTAAATTTAATACGTCAGCGAATTCGCTGAGTTTTTTATTGAATTTTTCCGTACGTGTATTTATTCTTCTTTTTAATATTCCAGCATGATAATTTCAGTAGTTAGACTTTGTTAGTTTATCAATTATATTTGTTTTGGTAGAGAAATGATGAAATGTTTAGAGTTGAGTTATGGCACTTGAGTGATTATGCCAATATCTCGGTCATGAGTCAATTTAGAAAAACAAAGTACGGGGGGACCTTCGCAGTAGTAATTCAACTGAATGACTCCATTTTCGCAGGTTAAAAAGTTGCATCACTCTTTTCAAGATTCATGCATAATTAAGTGGGAACGTTTCTCTACTTGAACCCTGATGGATTTATTCTCTTCCCTTATGAATTGAACTAATGAAGCTTCCCCTTTTGTTTAATTAGTTTGGGTTGCAGTAGCCTTCTTGTTTCTTCAAGATTTTTTTCCTATTCTTAGTTGACTGGTGTCGGCTAACTAACACTGCATTTTTCTATTATCTTTTTCATTAATTCCGTATAGAGGTGATGAGGATAACCCTGTTGCTCAGGTACAGAGACTGCATCAGCATATGCGGTGAGTGCATTCTAAAAGAAAGATAGCAAGCAAAAAGTTTGTCGAAGAGACAAATTTTTCATTCTCCCCCTGGTTTCCCCTACCGTAGTCCGCATGATTTTTATTTTTATAATGTTTCTGTCATCTCTACACAACTCGATTGTGAATTGATCAAATGGAAAACGTCAATTTTACACTGTGATAATTTTTTTTGAAACTGTGGGGAAACAAGAGAAGATGGAGATATTTTTAAAGATTTTTTTATCTCTCTCTTGTAGAATTGCCCTCCATAATCTCCCACAGAGCATTTCTGTACGATTTTTTCCAACGCGAGCTGATGCAATTTCTGCCCCCTTCCAGGGAATCCTGGCAGCACCTCCTGGGTTTAATTCGTCACCGCGAGCAGCGTCTGCAGGCAGCTGGAGAAATTCACAGATTCCATCGTGACGTTGCCGAAGCCCTCTCTCGCATCCAGGAGAAGGAGGCAGCCCTCCCCGAAGACCTAGGACGTGACCTGAATTCCGTATTAGCTCTCATCAGACGTCACGAGGGTTTCGAAAACGATTTGGTAGCCCTCGAGGCCCAACTCCAGGTCCTGGTGGAAGACGCCTCCAGACTCCAAGCCCTGTATCCCGGAAACAACGCAGCTCACATCGATCAGCAGCAGCAGATTGTCTTGGCAAACTGGGAGGAACTGAAGGAAAAATCAGCTCACAGAAGGGACCAGCTGCAGGCAAGCTGCGATCTCCAACGATTCTTGACTCAAGTTCGTGACTTGATGAATTGGGCTGCTGGCTTACGTGCTGCACTCTCCACCGAAGACAAAGTTCGTGATGCCGCGAGTGCCCAGACACTGAAAGCAGAGCACGAAGGGATCAAAGGTGAAATCGAAGCAAGGGAGGACAGTTTCAGTGCTGTACTCGATTTGGGGGAAGCAATGGTGCAAACAGGTCACTACGCAGCTCCAGAGGTCGAAGAAAAGTGCAACCAGTTATTGGACGAACGTCAGAAGCTCCACACAGCCTGGCAGCAGAAGAAAGTCCACCTGGATCAGCTGATAGATCTCCATTTTTTCCTCAGGGATGCAAAACAACTGGACAATTTGTCAGCTACCCAAGAGGCTGCTCTGAGCAACGACAATTTTGGTGTGTCTGTTGAAGAAGTCGATGTGCAGATGAAAAAGCACAACGAATTTGAGAAGCTTCTGGTCACACAGGACGAGAAACTGGCAGCTCTGCAGGAGCACGGGGACAAGCTCCTGGCTCAAAGCCATTTTGATTCCCCAAAGATTGCGAGCAGACTGCGTGAAGTCTCTGAGAAGCGTGCCAAGATCCGAGATTTGTGCGATGGGAGGAGAAAGAGGCTGGCTGCTAGCCTTCTGCATGCCCAGTTTATAAGAGACGTTGGTGAGGCTGAATCGTGGATCGGTGAGAAGCAGAAGAAACTCGAGGCCGAGGCGTCGAAGGGTGAAGTCTCCAGTCTAGAGGACAAAATTAAGAAACTGCAGAAGCACCAGGCATTCCAGGCCGAGTTGGCAGCGAACCAGAGCAGGATCGAGGAGATTCGCACCAAGGGGGAACAATTATTGGCTCAGAAGCATCCATCGGGTGGGGAAATTCGAGCCCAGTTGGATCAGCTCCACGGTACCTGGAGGAAACTCCTGCTAGTCTCTGGCAATCGAGGAAGGGGTCTGGAGGAAGCTCAAGACATGCTGGAATTCAACAATCAGGTGGAGAAGATCGAGGCCTGGATTCGAGACAAGGAGATGATGGTCCAGGCTGGAGATACTGGCAAGGATTACGAGCACTGCCTGAGTCTCCAGAGGAAGCTGGACGACGTCGACAGTGACATGAGGGTCGATGATACCAGAATCAAGACAATCAATGCACTGGCAGACAAATTGATAAAGCAGGGCCATGACGACGAGTCCAAACCGATTCAACAGCGCAGGGATAATTTCAATAACAAGTGGAAAGGCCTGCAGGGGGCACTGAGCGATTACAGAGACATTCTCGCTGGTGCCCTGGAGATTCACCTGTTCAATCGTGATATCGATGACACCAGTCAGCGAGTCATCGAAAAATCCCTCGTGATGAATACTCAAGACGTTGGAAAGGATTTGGCAGCTGTTGAACATCTCCAGAGAAAGCAGGAGGCGATGGAACGAGATATGACAGCTATCGAGGGCAAGTTGAAGGAGCATCGAGCAGAAGCGGAAGAGCTCTCTCGAAAATATCCAGAAAATGCACCTGAGATAAAGGCAATGCTGCACAATCTACAATCGAACTGGGATGACCTGCAGCATCTGACGAAGCACAGGCGTGACGCATTGAACCAGGCGTATACCCTCCATAAATTCCTGGCCGATTTGCATGAGGTCGAAATCTGGGTTAATGACACAATCAAACGAATGAACGAGTCTGAAGCTCCCACGACAATTTCGGAAGCTGAAGCCCTGCTGGAGCTCCATCAAGAGCGAAAAGCTGAGATCGATGGACGACAGGACACAATTAAATTGCTGAATGAACATGGAAAAAAATTAGTGGAGATTGATTCTGATGTCAAGGGAAGTTTAGAGTATTTGGAGCAATTGAGAACTGGTTTGATTAGAGCTTGGGAGGAGAGGAGGGAGAAGCTCCTGCAGGCTTACCACCTGCAGCAGTTTAAGGAGCAGGCTGATCAGGCTGACAGCTGGCTAGCAACTAAAGAAGCATTCCTCAACAACGACGACCTCGGGGAGTCCTTGACAGGTGTGGAGACTCTCATAAGGAAGCATGGGGAGTTTGAGAAAATGCTGACATCGCAACTGGGAAGAATCGATGAATTGGAGACTTTCGCTAACGAAATTCTAGCGGCAAATCCCTCTGATTCAGCTATTATCAGACAGAGATTGGGTACAGTGTGCGGTAGACGAGATAAATTGAAGAATAACGCTGCAGGGAGGATGAAGAAGTTGATAGAGAGTCGACAGCTGCATCAATTTCTTCGTAATATCTACGAGGTGGAAGGCTGGCTGCATCAGAAGCAGCAAGTCGCTGGTGACGAGAGCTACCGAGATCCCACGAATCTCCAGAGTAAAATTCAGAAACACGTCGCATTCGAGAGCGAGTTGATGGCGAATCGAGGGAGAATCGCGGGCATAATGAGCGAAGGTGAGAGTCTCATCGAGAACGAGCATTACGCGTCCAAAGAAATCCAGGACAGACTCGAAGATTTGGAGTCCGAGTGGAGGATTCTCCAGCAGACCAGTGAGCTCAAGAAAAATCGACTCAACGATGCGTATCAAGCTCTCCTGTTTGGCCGAACTTTGGACGAATTCGAGACCTGGATGGACGAAATTGAGGTGCAACTGCAGTCTGAGGATCACGGTAAAGATCTGTCTAGCATCGCGAATTTATTGAAACGTCACACAAACCTGGAGAACGATGTGCTTGGCCACAACGAGGCTTGCGAATCCATCAAGGAGACTGCTGTGAGCTTCCAGAAGACGAAGCACTTCATGTGCGACGAAATTCAGGAGAGAGCACAGGCCTGCATCAGTCGTTACCACAGCCTGCAGGAGCCAATCCAAATTAGACGAGACAATCTTGAAGATGCTAAGCTACTCCACCAGTTCCTGAGAGACGTCGAAGACGAATTGCACTGGTTAACAGAGAAGGAGCCCTTGGCTGCCAGCAACGACCTGGGCAGCTCTCTGATGACAGTTCAAAGGCTGCAGAAGAAGCATCAAGCCCTCGAGGCTGAGTTAATATCACGAGAGCCAGTGGTTGCTTCACTGGCTGCACGAGCTGCAGGCATGGTGAGGAGTGGACACTTTGCCAGTGAAAAAATTGAATCAGCTGCGCAGCAACTGCAGAATAAGTTGTCACACCTCCGAGATCTCGCCAGTGTTCGTAAGCTGAGGCTTCTGGACGCTGTTGAGTCGCAGATGTTTTATGCCGAGGCAAGCGAAGCTGAGCAGTGGATTAAAGAGAAATATCCGCAGTTGAGATCCACTGATTATGGGAAAGACGAGGACTCTGTGCAGTCGCTGCTGAAGAAGCTCGAGGGCCTCGACCGTGATCTCTCCTCCTTCGAGAGTAATGTTGAGAATTTGAAGAAATTGTCGGCAGGATTGATTAATAGACACCACTTTGACAGCAAAAATATTGGGCAGAAGCAGAAGGAGATTGAGCAAAAGTTCGCTGAGCTCAATAAATTCAAGGATCTGCGGCTTCACAGGCTGCTGGAGAGTGAGAAGTTATTCAAGTTTATGCGACAAGCTGACGAGGTCATAGAATGGATCAGTGATCAGACGATAGTTGCAGCTTCAGAGGACTACGGATCAGACGTTGAGCACGTTGAACTCCTCATTCAAATTTTCGATAACTTCTTGGCAGGACTGACCACCAGTGAGCACCGCATACTAGCAGTGATTGACGCCGGCGAGACTCTGATCAAGGAGCAGAACCCAGAGGCCAGTAAAATTCGTGGCAAGATCGACGAGACCAAGCAACAGTGGGACGACCTGAAGGAGCTGGCCCATGCGAGGCAGGAGGCACTGGCTGGGGCTAAACAAGTGCACATGTTTGATCGAACAGCGGATGAAACAATCACCTGGATCCAGGAGAAGGAGGCGAGCCTCAGTTCCGATGGATATGGACACGATCTGGAGACAATTCAGGCTCTAGTGAGGAAGCACCAAGGATTCGAGACAGATCTGGCAGCTGTTAAAGAGCAAGTTGAGTCAGTGATGGCTGAGGCTTCGCGATTAGCTGAATTATTCCCAGACGCCAGAGAGCACATTGCAGTTAAACACGAAGAGGCCGACGAGTCCTGGACCGATCTTCTGGAGAAAGCTGCACAGAGACGAAGTAAATTAGCCCAAGCTGAGCAGCTCGAAACTTACTTCGATGAGTACAGAGACCTCGTCTTCTGGATCAACGAAATGGTGGCCAAAGTGACAGCTCCCGAGCTGGCGCGCGATGTACCAGGTGCTGAGATCCTCATATCGAGGCACAATGAGTACAAAGTGGAGATTGACTCGCGTCAGGATGCATTCAGTAAATTCCATCTAGTCGGTCAGGGTCTGATTGAGCACGGCCACTTCTTAGCTAAAGAAATTCAGGAGAAAATTTCGGTACTCGAGCAGAGGAAGAACGTGCTGACAGCCACTTGGGAGCAGAGGCGACTGATCTACGAGCAGAATCTCGACACTCAGATGTTCAAGCGCGAGGCAGAAACCCTGGAGAACTGGATAATAAGCAGAGAGCCGATGCTGCACGATGGCAATCTTGGCGAGACAATTCCTCAGGTCGAGGACTTGATACGCAAACACGAGGACTTTGAGAAAACTATAGAGGCACAGGAGGATAAATTCGAGGCGTTGAAACGAATAACAATGCTGGAGCATGCTTTCCGGAAACAGCAGGAGGCTGAAGTGGCAGCTAGACAGGCTGAGAAGGAGAGAGTGGAGCGTGCGAGGATTGAAGAGCGCAAACGAAAGGAGGTCCAGAGGATCACAGAAGAGCGTAAACGTGAGGAGGAGCGCAGAAGGATTCAGGACAGCCCCCATCACCGACCTCACGACGAAATAAACGGCAAATCTGACGACCACGAGTCCTCGAGCACACTGTCCCCATTGAAGAACAGCAACGCCACTTCGGAAGTTGTTGAAGTCTCCGGGCACAAATCCCACGGTTTTTCCCATGTGTTCGGCGATCGGTTGAAGCGTACAACACCAGACATCAAGCGAGCTGAGAGCATGAAAGTGGACACGAAGAAACCGAAGCGAACGCCCAGCTTCACCACTCGCAGACGCACTCAGAGCTTCAGAAAGCACCAAAAGATGGAGAATATGGATCCTCTGAGGCCAGTCGAGATCCAGGGCCTCTTGGAGCGCAAACACGAGCTGCAGAGTGGAGGTAAAAAGGCAGCTGTAAGATCGTGGAAGCAGTACTTTACGGTTTTGTGTGGACAGCTGCTGTGCTTCTTCAAGGATCACAGTGATTTTTCGTTGAGCAAAGCCGCCACAGCACCCATTACGATATTCAATGCAACGTGCGAAAAAGCTGAGGATTATACCAAACGAAAGCATGTGTTTAGGTTGAAGTGCACTGATGGCTCGGAATTTCTGTTTCTTGCTGCCAACGACCAGGAGATGGAGGACTGGGTCAATAAGATTTCGTTCCATGCCAAATTGCCACCGAGTCTGCAGCTGCTGAGGTACGACGAGACGCAGAAGGATGGGGCAGAGAGACTCCAGAGCCAAACGCCTGATATCATTGGCGATGAGAATGCCTCCACCGAGAGCAGTCGAGCCTCAACTCCAGAATTAGAGAGGAAGAATTCTGTGATTCGTCGGGATGTCACTGAACACTCGAATGTTCAGGTGGAGTTCCTGCAGAAGCACAGGCAGAGTCAGCAGATGAGGGAGCCCAAGTCTCCGGAGTTTGTCGAGCCACCCAGGATACCTGAGTCGCTGACGCAAACTGAGTTCTTGCAGAAGCACAGGCAGCAGCAGCTGCTGAGCCAGCAGCTCCTCCAGCAGGAGCAGTTGGCGATTCAGAGGGATTATCAGTCACCTCCGGGGGAGAAACCACCTATTCCGCCCAGGGGGGCACCTCCTCCTGTCCCAGCGAGGTCGCCGAGCTCTGAAAATGTCCTGCCAATGAGGAGAAATGACGTTGAACATCATATGCCGGTCAACAGACCTCAGTCCTACCAGCAGAGAAGTGCTACGTTAAATTATAATGGGTCGGGACAGCATGTAGCTGCGGATAACTGGCATCGACAGAGCAGCGTGGATTTCACGTCTTCTCCAGGTGAGGAAAAATCGTGATTTGAAAGTAGTGAGAAAGTGGAGATGGGTTCAAAATACTGGTGTAGATTATTTTGCAAATATTTTTGTTTATTTATTTTTGACGAAATTTGTTGCAAGAAAAATACATAAAAAATTATTTTCTTTCAATAGGCCACATTTACATATGGACATGAGTATTTCGCAAATATTTTTTGAGAATGGAAGCATTGCAATCCTTCAATTTTTATATTCTCTCATTTTGATTGGAAATTATGAAGAATGGTCTGAAATGTTAAAATACGAAGTTTAATGACAATGTCTGTATGTGAGCCTTCCCGGTAATCAATTTGACAAAAAAATTGAAACATCATTCAGATATTTGCAAAATCACCTATGAATTCATTCTGAGCTCATACTCTTTTACGACTTCTCTTACTGATTTGTTTCTCTTGGCGATATCACAGCGAAATTGAAATATTAAAACAGATTTTGTAGAAGTAGCACCTCCCCTGCCATCAAGTGCTCCGCCGCCACCCAGGATGGCACAATGGAACACTCATGACCCCGGTTAGTCAATAAATGTTGAAGAACGAAATGATTTGATGTTTAGTTTGCACTTTATCTGCAAAATTGGACTTGATTGGAGTTTGCAGGTCTTGCACCGAGCACTGAAAGCCAAAATCTTGATTGAATGTAAAAAATGTCTTGACTGTTATGCATGTGATTAAAGCAAAGTGATAAAACAAAATGAGTAAACAATTGTAATCGGAAAAAGATAATTTTTTAATGAATGTTGATGTTCGAATGTTGATATCAAATGGGAATTGCCATCATTCTTTACATTCAAAATATTTAGATTCCTCCTCAGGTTATCAATTTTTCTGTAAATTTATTCTCCTCTCGCACGAATTTCTTCAATTTCTTGAATTATCCATTGTTCATAGCCTCTAACATTTCCCCTTTTATCTAAAAAATTGAAGCATGGATTTGTGATTTTGAAAGTACAATTAGTGAATGCTGCGAAAAAAGTACATTTTTTAAAATAATTCGTTGTATTTTGCAATATTGCAGGATATGGGAATACAAATCTCAACGTCAGACAGGTAATTATTAATTATATCTTACTCTAATTGCGTAATAAAGCAGTGAAACTCGTCAAGTCAGGCATGAAGTTCTCCTATTTCTTGATTTTTTTTTCAAATTTTTCTCAAGCAATTAATTGACGAATAATAATTCTTAATTGACGAATTCGATGATTGAAAAGCTTTGAATCTATAGTGGGGTTTGGGCCGAAATGTAAAAAATACTCGAATATCCCTAACAAAATTAGAAATGTTGGCTTGAAGTGTTACACCACCTCATTACTCTTACCTTTCCCAATTTTTCGGTTAATATGAGAAATATTTCCAGACTGGACAACAGCAACTCAATTCATTCACGGGCCGTCCAACTTCGCTACCACCGTATGTGGCCCCACCGCCAGCCATTTCTCCAGTAACTCAAAGTATCTCCGTTGTTGATGGGAGAAGGGCGTCCGAGAGTGGATCAGAGAGTGAACAGAGCAGTGGTGGTTCACGAAAGGATCGAGATTACAAGAGAAGCTCAGTTTTGAGTAATTTGTTTGGCCGACGAAAGAAGCCATCTCAGTCGTAGCATTCTACCTGATAAATGATGATTACATTTGTGTACTTACAATTGGTAAGTTCTCGCATTATTCTCTTGGAATCAGTCGTGTTGTATAAAAAATATAAAGTATTAACGCTTTTGTAATTTTCATGAATAATTAAAATTCCATATTCCGATTATGTCTTTATTGCACATAGCCATATTTTTTATTACCAATAAGAAATTCTATTAGTTAATGTATTTCCTCATTGCTATTTTTTCCTCGGGTCAACTCCTGATCCTCAGAATTTTTTTATAAATTCCGCATTATGAAACATAACAATAGTAAAAAAAAATGAAAATTTTCCTCTATGAATGAATAATTTGCAAAAATTATTGCTACGAATTAGAACTATAAAATTAAACATTGAGAGTAATCATTCTGAAATTTTTTGCTATATTAATTTAATTGATTATGAGCCGTAAAGCCGATGATTTGCAAGCATTCGAGGTGGATTGAAAATTTATCCAATCAGAGCTAACTTGGATATATTTTTTCATTTTCAGAAGAGGACAAAGACAAAATTCATCACAATTGAAGGAAATAATGAAGGATATATGTTACAATAATGAATCCCAAACATTTTTATATAATCTACTATTACTTTATTTATGAATAACTGAGGAAAGAAAATAATAAGTTTCGTGTATAATCAAAGAAAAAATCCGAGCAGGTGACTACAAATGCAATTATTATTGTTAATTTGTTTTTTATTGAATGGTTTGTGATGTACCTGACCTCGGAACCGGAAACCAGAGCTTGAGATGGGACCAAGTTTGATATACAATGAGTGAATTAAATAGATTGATGGGAAGAAAAATGAAAACATGAGTTTATTTGTAGATGACCTAATATAATTCTCACGCCGTGAACCGTTACGAATGTTTATATATATATATATAGATTCTGAGATTCCTATATATTCGGTACCAATGAACAATATTTACTATAAATCATCTCAATTTTGTATAACCCGTGTAATGAGACGAATATATGAATATAGATATGTATACATTTATTTTTTTGAGAAAAAAAAGAGAAGAAACTTGGTATTAAGCATGTACAATATTTCTAGTTTATTAACTGATACGGTTTATTGTAGAAAAATATGACACGCATGAAATGAAATGAAAAGAAATAAAACATTCCACTTTGGAGATTCATATTCTTTATTTCCCTCTCGAACTTTGCCATTGTTTGAATAGTGTAAACATGTAAATTCATTAAATTTTCTGCCCACAATTCGGCAAAAATTGGGCCAAAAATTCAGCAAAAATACATCATATTCAATTTCCATCGAAATCGAAAAAATGCCGATTGAAATAGTACGGACCGTCCCACTTCCTAAACCCGTCCATTGCAGAAGTTTATCAATTCATTCGCTCTGTAGAATTCTGTGGATATCCTCGAATGCTGATTTAAGGGAGGCGACGTATTCCGAAGCGTCTCGGTGATCTCTGTAGCTCGCGACACCTAATCGAATGCTCAAATCAGTGTCGTCGATAGCGTAGCCGATGCCGTATCCATGCTCCACAACGGGACCGAAACCCCCGCCCAAAATTACGGAAGCGCCTAATGTAGAAGTTGATAAAATATTTTCATTCAATTTAGCAAATACTGGATCTTTGAAAATGGCTGGAAGCTCTCCTCCATTCTCCAGGCAAATCCGCCGCAACATGAACAAATGCCTGTCGAAACCCTGGCCCATTGCCGCCTCCTTCGTAAGCGCGGTATGTGCATTACTGCATTCGATCATCATTTTCTTGTACTTGCTATCATTTATTTGGGAAGTGCCGCTCTCCACGATGGCTTTGCATAAGGCTTGGGTTTCATCGGTGCACGATCTTATCGTCTCGGTGCGGCCGTGTTTAAAAGCGGCGGTACTGCATGACTCGTATGTTGCCACAGCGCGTTTCTCAAGTTTATAAAGAGCCAATTGAAACGCCAATTGCATCACTGCATCGGGACTCACTCCGGCTGTTTTGCATTGTTTCTTACCAAATATATTGTGAAGCAAGTGCTGCATCGTTAACCGATCAGTCCAATGTTTGTATTCTTTCAATGCACGATTCACAGACTCCATTGTGACGTCGTCAATCTTAAATTCAAGTTTTTGAACATCTGGAGATGAGATTGATAGTTGCGCTCGCTCCTCGGGATGGAAGCGAGGTCGCACCGTTGCGTCATGTTTCATGTCCTGTTGATAATTTAAAGAATAAAATCATCGATGATTCTCATGTGGGTGATTTCGCCAATTTTTTGTTGTTCTGTATCTTTGAAATTTTTCACTATCCGAAAATAACTTTTATCTCTAATTTTTTTTTCGTATTCTTCGTTTGTTAATTACAAGTTATTCCTTTCCTCTCGTTTTTTTTTCATAAAAAAACTACTATTTGACGAAACATGTGGAATAGAAGGAGAATAACGAAAAAATTGAGTAAACAATAAAAATATCTATGTTCACACGAGGCATGTGAATAATTTACCTGACAAAATCGGAGAACAGCCACTCCATCACCCCAGGAATGTTCAAAATTAATTGCAGTCCATCCCTTCCCAGTTACAATTAATGTAAATGATTTATCGAACCAGCGATTAGTCCCATCAGCATGTAAAAAATCTCGTAGCAACACATTGATATCCTCATCCACTAGATCATCATCCAAGGCTAGAAGAAATGTTGCCGTATCGATTTTTTTGAATACATCAGCATTTCCGAGATTTACCAAGTGTTGGCGATTCCGGGCCCACTGATTACGCTCTGTGGTAGTCAATATTCCAATTGGACAGAGACTAGGTGCTCGAGGATCGTGCAATATCGTGTTCACGCAGGAGGCAATTTCGTGAGGCGAACGAATGCTGCCGTCCTCGTTGAGAATGTCGAATGTGTAGAGATGACCTCTTCGTATTACTAACACGTGTCTTGCGTTGGGGTCACTGGTAATTCTGTCCTTTTCGATTTCCGGGATTCGCGTTGTTCCGAAGAGATGATTGAATTGCGACATATCCAGTGGAAAAGCCTGTAAAAAAATTATCATATTTAGCAAATACATCAACGTCGTTGTCAGAGAAGAACAGTTGGTTTTAGTTTACAACAGTGGCCACAAATATTATAATCTCCTATTAATTTATTTTCATATTTATTTAGCAAAACTAACTTCAGAGATTTTCAGATAAAAAAGAAACGAATGCAAGCCAAATGATATTCATAATGAGGCGAATACAAGAGGTGAAAAAGAACGTGATAAAAAATTTATCACCTTGAATAAATATGCGCCGTAAGTAGCTATTCTCGATGGTAAAAGCCCAGTGACGAATCTAAAGAATTTAGTATCCGATTTTTTCCTATTCATGTGAAAGACTTCCGGCTCTAGAAGTCCAGCCCGCAGGGATCTTAAGAATCTCGCTGACGATATCAAAATATTCGTGGCTTTGACCAGAGGCATATTATACGCTGCATTTTTCTCCTGGTAGAATACCATGTAAGGGTTGAAATTAATTGGAAGTGGTCTACGATCTCTCAAGTACATGTCAAACCAGGGTTCGCTGATGTAACTCGTGTGTTTGTTCTTAGCATCGAGTTCTAAGAGTTGTTGGTGCAACTGTGGGCCTTCCTTCAGTTGGAATGCAGCAACATTTTTTGCTGTTCGTTCACATTCCTCCGGGGATAGAATCGCTTTTTGAGCTTTTAAATATTTCTTACAGGTATCCTCTAACTTTGGAATGGGTAGACGTGGTAGGGATGCCTGGAAGTGCATTGTCGGAAGGCTGCTCTGTTGTAGGTACTGATATTCATCATCTATGGATCTGGAAGATACTCATTAGTTGAAATTCAGTATTCTTCCAATTTTATTTAATATGTGAGATTTATTATATTTTTATATTCTATAATTATATAATTATAAAATACATAACTATGAAATTTGATTTGAAAAAAATTAATTAAATAATTTAAATTTAATTTAATTTTATTTATTATATAATTTGTTATTATATAATTATATTGTATTATATAATATATAAGACGGCTGCTAAACAGTTAACACGCGTTAAACTCATTGTTCGCAGTGAAAGTTCGAATTGAAAATTTTGAAAATATTTTTTTTTAATTCGACCTATTTCGTCACTAGGTGAAAATAAACTTTTCTGGCGAATATGAATTTTCAGTACAAGCCAAAGGTTAGTGAGTTACAAGGTTTCTTTGAACAATTAGCCAACCAAATGTTTTGTGATCCCACGCGTAAACATCGCGATGTATTGCTGAATGAATGCAATAATGGAAACAAAATTATGCGTACCTTGAATGACCCGGAAGAATATAGGAAAAAACCTTCGATATCCCGTCCACCTGTAAATATATCGATAATTTTGTTTTGGTAATTTTCGGCAAGATTTCACCTTTCCGGAATTACGTTCATATGACCTTTGGCAGATAGCCTGTGAATACTGTTGAAACACAATTCCAAAGTTCTCTCACAAAAGAGTGAAAATGTGAATTTCATCAGATAAGAAAGATTTATTTGTAATAAATAAATTGTTCGATGTGTAATCAAATCCTTTCTCTTGGAACAAGTGAACAAATTTATACATTTGATTCATTTGTAACAAAAGTATTCTTAAAATGGGTTAGAAAATTCAAATAATTCTTTTATCTGGTTCAAAACAACATTTTTCTGGGTGTGGTGTTGCGTGTGGTCGTCGTTTGGATGACTCGTAATAATACCGCACATTTTAATACAAAGGCCGAATGAACGAAATTGAAATGCACGAATGATAAATCGAACGGCGTAAAAACACTAAAATATGCCGCAAAAATCGTAATCAATACAGTGAGCCCAACGGAACATCATTGAATTACATTTCTATGTCTACTATGCGACCTGATCTATTCCCGGAGAAGAATGATTGCCAGAAACAAAAAATTTTCGATAACAACGAGCGATCCTCGATGAGTTGGCAATTTAGAGCTTTCTCAGTGAAATTCGCGCTGCAGACGTCCAACGAAAAAAGTTTGAGAAAAATTACCGAACAAGTCAAGTAATCGTGGAGCAAACTCGCTCTTCAGTACTTTTTCATCGTAAATATGAGAAAAAGTGCGAGCTTAATAGAGAATTGTGAAATTGTCATGCGGTCGAGGAATATAATCACCGGAGTTAATAGTGAATTTTACTCCATTAGGCCGGGAAATTTGGCCGACGTGAAGATGACTTGTACCGAAACTAAAATTTACGCTGCATCCCATCAAAAAATATTCCAGTGAACGTGAATAATTGTAAGATATCCACCAAAAACTATTATTTTCTCAATGAACTACATGTCACTCCACGATTACCATTCGCATACTAAAACAGTAAAATTGGTCACGATGAAGATTTGAAAATGCAAAACTATAAATATAAATTGAATAAAATAAGACAAAATGAGCTTACCCACAACTCAGACAGAAAAATAATCATATTTATCACCATGATAAGCGATGGATTAGAACTCTGAGCTAGGCAGCAGATATTAACCCAGTAACGTCCGATTCAGTAATGAGCGGCAATCAATTATTTATATTGAGTGGTATCACAGAGTGAAATGAAAGAAGTGCAAAGTTCCCGGGGTAATCTAGGTACTGTACGTGCATTGTATCTATACATATACTGGGAAAGAAGCAAATCCGCAAACCACTTCGCGCGCTCGCGAACCAATGGTATTGTTTTAAGAAAATTCTACAGACTACAGGTATGCGAATGTACCTCCAGCACAGTCGTGCCGGAGAGTCTGTGGTCTTCGGTTCCTATTCTCCCCCGCCACTAGAATTGCATGGGAACCGAAGACTGCAATCTCGCCAGTACGCGGTATATGCTATAATATATAATCAAACAACCGGATGGATATTATCGGAACGCTCAATTATTGTCCGGCAATACATCAATTATGTACAATAATGGATACATATCCAGTCAACAAGGTTGCCAAATTGGGCGACTTGCAATAATTAGGAAATTATGTTGAACGACCGCCAGGCCAATTAATATAATTTCATAATTTGATAAAAGCATATAAATTTATATGAATAAAAGAAAAAAATTGGCTTAATATTATTTAGATTTCATCAACATTACATTGACATATTTCGTTGGAGGCCGTCTTCGAATTTCAATAATTTCTCATGAACCGCGTTTTCAATTAATTCAAAATCTTACAGACATTTACACCTGGAATGGACATTGAGCTCTAATTTTTCAATTTTTTTGGTATATCAGATTGCTATTTATAGCGTCGCCAATCACGATCATCTGTCGATAATTCATTCTTCATGTCAATCCGAGATTCTAAAATAATAATGGCACAACCCCCAAAAAAGACAATTATGATGCAAGTATCATAGAAATAAATTATTGTCGAATTGAAATGAGGATTCGTTATTGTTAAGGTTTTGCGATTTATTTGTTCCCTTTAATTTTGAAAATTTCACGATAAGATGTTATTACGGTCAAAAGGGAGGGGGGAGCAGTGAACAGAGGCGGGAGGGACCGCGCGGGAAGCTCCACGCCGCTTCGGCTTCAGTCTTCACTTCACTTCGCCGGTGGCCTCCGTCTTACAAACTTGCAAAATGCGAACGCGATTGAAGGCAATTGAGATTTCCAACTTCAAAAGTTTCGTGGGACGATGGGATCTCACACCACTGATGCCATGGAACGCTATTACTGCTCCCAATGGATCAGGTAATTGATTTAACGTGAATCTAACGAGAAGAAAAATGTACCGATTCTTCGTGTTTGCGTGGGAATGTTTTCTCATCGGCGTTCTGCCATCTTGAGCGGTCCTCTGGCTTTATTACGGTTATAAATTACGATTTGGATAATTGAATTTAGTTTTTCTTTGAGTTTCGTTCATAATATTCGTCCAATCGTTCTGCAGGGAAATCTAGCTTAATTGATGCAATCACATTTGGTCTTGGCGAAAACGAGAATGTTCAGCTGAGAATCAATAATCTGGAGGAGCTGGTTCCTCAGACGAACACTCATGAGAGGTAAAGTATCCATTTAATGTTTCTACTGATCGGAAAATTATTATTCTCATCAGTACTCCCAATAACAAGAACAAATTAATAAACAAAAGTTGATGAAAATTTTTTTTTGCTTGAATTGTGTCGAAAATCTAAAAACTTCATTATTTTTTTTTTCAACATTCCAGTCGAACTTTCGTGAGTCTCACATTTTCCTCTGGGAAAGACACAACAGTATTCGAGAGATCCCTGGTGAAAAACCGGGCTCAACAACGATACGAGTCACTGTACACAATAAATGAACAGGTAAAATCGTTTAATTTTTTCTTCAACCGCATTTATGACGGTTATGGCAGTGATGAATTGATGGAGAGGGAAATACTGAGAGAGTAGAATATTTATCGAAAAGGATTTTTCATTTCTAGATCATAAAGTTACCAATAGTTGTTAATTTCACATCATCATCTCATGAACCGTGTGAACTTGTTATTTTAATAATTTCCCATTAGACATTAAGAGAACTTCATTTGTAGATCATAAAATTTTCTACAAAAAAGTTGTCACCATTTCAAAAGTGTAACGTTGAGTTTTATATGTTCATGCTCAGGTAGTTGATACAGCTGACTACCTGGAAAGGCTAAAGGCCCTCGGGATCAACATCAAGGCAAAGGATTTCGTGGTTTATCAGGGCAACATCAACGATATAATCGATGCATCTCCACAGGACCGACTAAATATGTTGGAAACTGCAAGTGGATCTTTGGCGTTCAAAGAACGTTACGACTATTTGACGCAGGAGTTGAGTGCATTCCGCGAAAAAGTTGTCAAAGAGACCTCAACAAAGAGAAAATTGAGGAGTGAGATGAATAAGTACAAAGCGGCAGCTGAAAAATCAAGGGAATTGAAGCAACAGAGAGAGCAATTTGTAAGTTTAATGAATTTTTAATGAATTTTAGAATTCAAGTGATGGAATGAGTCGAGACAAGTATAACATCATTCACTGAGAGAACAACGAGCAGGTTGTCAAACGAGTCTTGTTTGACGTGAAAAATTGGTCTCGAAAACGACTAATTTTCAATTAATTATCATAAGATAAAATTTCCTATGAGAAATATCTTAGATTTCTCTTCGAATTACTCATTCTCGATATAATCCCTTCATTATTGAATTCTCACGAATCCAATTATTCCGCAGCAAAGGACCAATGCAGAATGCTACCTGCTGCAATTGAAAATCATTGATCTCAAGAATGAAACCCTCAATCAAAATGTACCCTCAAGAAGCGCGTCATCGCGGATCGAGGAGACGAAGGAGAAGACACGAGATCTCAAAAAGACTTTGAAGAAGATGGAAGTAAAGCAAAACGAGTTGTTAGAAGAATCCCAACAACTTGACAAATTAAACGCTGAACTGTGCAAGAAAAATAATCAACAGTCAGATTATGAAATGGAAATAAAGAAACTGAAAAAATGGCTGGAGGATGAGCAAAAACTCCAGGATGTCGTTAATGATATAGAGGGAAGGATTGAAGAGAATGAGAAATTATTGCAGATGTTTCATTCTCAGGGGCGGACCAGTGATGACGCACGTGTCTCAGAATATGAAGGAGAGTACGAACGTTTACTGAAAGAAGTTCGACAGCAAATGGGTGGATCTCTAGCGATAAACGAATCCAAGCTTCGACAAGAACGTAAACTCAAAGCTGAGTTGGATCTCTTGACCCAGAAAGGCCGAGGCCTCGACAAATCCATTTCTGATCATCGAAACGCTATCACTAGAAGCGAACACGCCTTGGAGAACTATCGACGTGACTACCAAACTATTCTAGAGGAAGTTAAAAAACTTGGGAAAGAAAAGCAGGAGAAATCGCAGCTGCTGTTATCGAAAGAAGAATTAGAATCATTGAAGAATCGCAGACGAAAGATCGAGGAAGATTTAGAAACCCTCAGAATCTGTTCAGAAAAAAAGAGGGGGAGGGAAAAACAAAGGGGAACATTGGAGAAATTGAAGGCAAAATTTCCTGACTCTGTGCACGATCGTGTCGCCAATTTGTGTCGAATCCCCCAGGAGAAGTACAAAATTGCAGTGGCAGCTGCACTCGATAAGAATCTGGACGCAATCATCGTTGAGGATGACGCCACTGCTGCAGCTTGTTTAGAGTATCTGGAGCAAGAAAGAATAGGTTTCGAGACTTTTTACAGCATCGAAAGTGCAAGTCCCCCGACTCTCGACAGAAATCTTCTATCAAAACTCAACTCTGCTAATGCAAAATTGGTCTACGACCTTGTCAAGTTCGATCAACAGTACGAACCGGTCATCAGGAGCATCGTGAGATCAACGGTCTTGTGTCAGACCCTCGAAGACGCATGGAGTGCCATGGACAAAATGCAGCGCCTGAGGAGGAAGCACAGTGTGGTTACCCTGGCAGGCGAAATGTTGACTGCGAGGTTCGTTGTATCTGCTGGTTTCAGTGAGAGGAAAATTCAGTCCGACAGGATCAAGACTGTCAATGAGGCTCAGCTGGAAGTGGAGAGACAGTGCATTCTCGAGAAACTAACACGTGTTAGGGATGGGAATCTCAAGATTGAGGTCCAGAGAATGAATGCTGAACATGAGTTGAAATTACGCTGCTTGCTTAATTTAAAAACATGCATTAGTGAGACTGTGAGTATTTGTGAAAATATTTTTTAATGAAAATTCTTGACAAAATTTAATAGAAAACGTTCAGCCAAAGCTGAATGTTATTTTTTTATTTATTTATTTATCCATATATAGGCGATTAGGCTTTTTACATTGACGAATGTTATCTATACAAATCCACAGGAAAAGAAGAACGAAATCCTTAAGGCGGACTTGGAAGATCTGAAAAGACAACATCAACAGATAGAAGAGAAGAAAATTGACTTGGAGAAGAGGAAACAAGACTTAACAAACCAAGGGGAACATCTTCAACGAGAGATGGATAAGCTTCGAGAAACAAGTTTCCAGGAGTTCTGTCAACAATTTGGCATCGAGAATATTGGACAATTCGAGTCGATGTTGGCATCGAAGAATGACCGGAGAGAGCGTAGGAAAATCATCGAAGGTCAACTCTCAGAGCTGAAGTCGTTGAAGAGATATGAAGAATCAAGATCTAAGGCAAAGGAAATTCCCAAATGGAAAGAAAGAGTTCAAGACCTCGAGGAAAAGCAGAAAGACTTGCAGTTGTATCTGCACAAATTGAACGAGGAAAAAGAGCGGTGCGACTCATCTGTAAAAAAGCTCCAGGCGATCTTGGAGAAGGAGACAAGAATCCTGAATGCAGCTGATGGAAAGCGTAAGGAATTATTCACCTTGAGCCACCAAAACGACCGAAAAACTCGCCAAGTGTCTCGTATCAGAGAGGAATTGAGCATTAAACGTCGAGAGATTGTGTCTGCCGCACGATTCGAAGGTGTTTCACTGCCACAACTTGAGGCAGAAGGCTCATCATCTCAGTCATCTGTGGAGGACAATCAAAAGAAATTTGATTACAGTCATTTGAGATCAGAATGGCAGAAGTCAAAGGACGTTGAGCTCCTCGAAAAAGAACTGTGGGCCCTCGAGCAGACGTTGGAGCGGACTCGAGTGGACGAGCACGAAATGCCTGATATAGAGGAACAATTGAACTCTTTGAAAAGCAAGTTGAGAGAGGTCGATGCACGACTGGAAAGTCTGAAAAAACAAGAGCAGCGGCTGGCTGCGAAATTGAGAGAAGTTGACAAGGACAGATCCGATGCTTTCATTCCCTTCTTCGACAAAGCCATAAGTGTGATCGATAATATCTGCAAGGAGATATACAACAGTAACTCTGCCCATGCTATACTCTCAGCGGTGAATCCCTCTAAGCCATATCTAGATGGCATTCGCTACGACTGCACTCCTGCACGAAAGAAATATCGTAATGTTGAGAAGCTGTCTGGTGGTGAAAAGGCCATGGCAGGTTTGATATTTCTGTTTGCTCTGCAGGAGAGTCGCTCCTCATCGCTCGTCATTCTGGATGAAGTCGATGGGGCTCTGGATCCAAAATTCGTCCAGGGATTCGTGAATTACTTGAAGAAACTCAAGAGGAAACATCAGGTCTTCATGATCTCACATAATCCAATGATCAATAGTGGCGCAGATACGATGATATGCGTTACCCCAAATATTTCATCTGGAGAGCTCGAGAGTGTGCCTATAATGGTGGATCTGGCTGGGAAATTCACGGATAGACAGTGATCTCGTAACAATTGTTATTTTTTTCTGATTAATCATTTTGATTTCGTTCTACTTATATTCGTCAGTCGTTCATTGTCATCAGCGCTCTATTCTTTGACGGTATTTTTGAAAGTTTTAATGAAACTATAGTTATTTTTGAATGTTTTTGGGTATTGTAATGCTTTGTAATACTTTATTCATCAGAATGTGGCCCAATTAATAATGAACAAATCATTCAGCCATTCTGTAGAAAACTCTTCATGTTTTTACTGCTGTGATTTTATTCTTTATTTAGAGGGTGGGTAGAGAGCAAATTTATGGCAACAAGTTTATAACTCTCATTTTTCATAATCATAGTCTTAATTCGCATTTTTAAATATAATTTTTAATTGTAATAATTCGTAATGTTTGTCCATCACAATATTGTCTTATCACTCATTGTATTCATTCATAGAAGAAAAGACCGCAAATTTACTACGTATTCATTTTAGTTTTTTATTTCAAAGACAAATAGTTTCCTTCAGTATTTTACACCTGCCTCCATGATTTTTCATCTCGGGGAAGGGGATTAATTATCATCATAACAAGAAAACCTTTACATTTTTTACATGTACTGCACCATGTGTTTACGCCCATTTTTTGAATGGAGAAATAGACAAAACAACAAAATTCAACGCAATTTTTATGAAAACCAAAATTTTAATGAAAGTCAATTTTGCCTCACAGGCCTCTATTAATAAACTTAAGTAATTAATTTCTAAATTGTTGTTTTTAGAAGGAATAAAACTTCTAATCAAACATTAGTGTTTCACATCAGTAATCGTACATAAATAATATTTTCTTTAAATGGTTGACTGTAATGCAAAAACTTATCCTAATTCGAATTCAGATTTCTGGTGGGTAGCCTCTGCGGACCAGTCACGTGCTCAGAGCGCTACCATAGGATGCCCCTCTTTTCGTAGCTTCTCGGTTGCTCGTGCAACGCGACGCCGGGGCCGGCCGGCGTCACACCGATCTGGACTGCGAGCCAATCTGTTGCGGCCGAGGTCGTGAGGACTAACGAGGAGTCTTTGTTCCGGAATCGAACGATTTGCCCGAGCCCTTTGGTGAGTTATCTGAGAAATATCATTCGGAAAATATCGAGAAACGTTTCGCATGAAAAAATTCATAAATTCTGAAGGTCTAATCGTGATAAAAACAGTCCTTTGTTGGGCATTTTGCGTTTCTTTCGCGTGTGTGATCCGTTGCGAGTGAAAAGAATGTTAGTTTCGTCGAATTAAAACGTGGAAGTTTTGGTAGTTGAGAAGCGGGGGGATTTATGAGTTTTATAGGCATTTTTTGAAATTTTACTAGAAAAATGGAATGCGTAGTTCGATTTAACGAGTTCCTTTGGGCTTTTCTCCTTCATACCCGGGTGTCCGTTTACCTCTCGTCTGTTTTTTCGAGTGATTCAGAGTCAAACCCATAATATAAGCGCATTAGTGTAAACAAATGTAAAGGGGATTGAGACAACTTTCGGGGAATTGCTTCAAACACTCAGTTTATTCGATTATTTTTCCAATTCGTTGAGATTCTTCGTCTGATATTCCATCAGCACTTGACGAAAAATAATCATCCATTCGTCTGTAAATTTCGTGAATTCCATAACTAATTTTGGGGTAAAAAAATAATTAAAAAAAGCGTTTTTGTAGTGGGACCGGAACGAATAGCGCGGAGAACAAAGGGATTTTCCCTCTGTTCTGCGTCGCCACGGTGCCGCAAACGTGTATCAACATGCAGATATCGAATTGATGAAAAGAAAATATGACGAATAGAGAGGGAGACGGAGAAGTTGATCTTCCCCTCAAATGTGTCTAGCCACGCGCTCTAAAATCAACAATCGAAACATAACACTTCAACTCTGAATAACATCAGCAAAATGAAGTCGCTTTTCACACAAAAATACTGGCGAGAATTTCAGTTCGTGGGAGCGAATTAGGAGTGATGATTTAGAGAAATGCTAAAAATATCTTATCAAATCCGAATAGTTGACCATTCATTTCAATTGCTCATTCTTTTCCTGATTTTTATGACATAGCGCACCTATTTTTATTTGAATAAAATAACTTGTCCGGAAAGAATATTACAGTTGGTAAATTTTTATCCATACTTTGATGAGAATAATAATTTTTTATTCGTCTTACAATTCAATTGATTAGATTAGGCGGATTACACTTTTTTTCTCATTCAATTGAAATTCACCATGACATTTTCCTTGTCACTTGTCATGCTTCACGGAATTGTCATCGCAAAGGTTTCGAGACGAAATCCAGTCATTATTGCCGCATGTCAAAGAAATGTCTTGTTAGTAGTTTTTGCGAGGGGCGAGAGGGAGAGAACAGTGTTGACATTTTTTTCCACGATGTCTCCAACTACAACCTTTACCGAGATCCAAATATTCGACAGAGCATTCAGCGAAAATAGCCGAGCATGATTCTTGTTCGAAGTGAAGCAAAAATCAAATGGTTTTCGTCCATTCAAATACATAAAAGAATAATAACGTAATTAATATTAATTCTTCTACTCGTGCTGTACGATAGAAGATAACACAAGAATGGAAGGGAAACCAGTGGGGAGGAGTCGAGGACGGGCTCGAGGAGTTCCAGGCGCTGACAAGCCGCCAAAGGCTGGTCAAAGTGCTTTCGGGCGTCCTGCAGCTGGTGGGCCCCCGCAACCGGCAGCCCTGCCACCCGAATCAGCCCCGGCCAGCCAAGCAGGGATACAAGTGGTAACACACTACATCGCCATGTAATATTCATCCATCTTCACAACAGATTCTAAAATTTCAGCAGCCATCTCATTGTTCCAGTCATTTTTCCTTTCCCATCCTCAATTTCGCTTGTTTCCTATTTTTAATAGAGTGTGGGACGTTCAGTGAGGGCCCCAGCACCTTTCCCTGTGCCCTACAGAGAGGGGGAGCGTCCAGGGGGACCCAGAACTCTGCCCCCTGTGGAATTACCACTGCCAGGTCCTGCGGGTGATGCCGGTGCCAGTATGGGCCGAGGTGCCTTGAGAGGAAGGAGAATAATCAATGCTGAGATTCTCAACACTCGTCCACAGCATGTTGCCACGTCCAAGAAGGGCACTTCCGGTACTCCAGTTGCTCTGATGGCCAATTACTACAAGGTCCTGGAGAAGCCTGACTGGTGCCTCTATCAGTACAGAGTCGATTTTGAACCTGAGGAGGACCGCACTGCCACAAGAAAAGGATTGCTACGTCAGCATCGTCAGCTGTTGGGGTCGTACATTTTCGATGGCACAGTTCTTTACACGTCTAACAGATTCACAACACCTGGAGAGGTAAATTAGTGCAGATTGATTTCATAGTATTTCAATTAATATCGTAATAATTTAAGGCGTTTGCGGCGGGGTGGGCAAACAAGGAAAACAACGACTTTTCAGTTACATATTTTCTCCACAGAATTTACTCAATTTTTTATTATTGAGAATTTAATCAATTTTTTGACATTCAAATAATTTAAATATCTTGAAATTCAATTGGACAGAAACACCGTGCCATCATGACAGGTTCATTTTCCCTACCGTTGTCTGCATTCGATCGAAATATTGATCTCTTTTTGTAGATAAGGTATTCAAACAATAATACTCTTTTTTTTGCTGCAGAATAAGGTATTCTTTTCCCGACGCACCACAGACGATGAGAACATTCGAATCACCCTGAGACTCGTTGGTGACATGGGCAGAGGTGATCCTCATTATCTCCAATTCTACAACATTTTGACTAGAAAGTGCTTGGAGTCACTAAACCTTCAGTTGGTTGGGCGCAATTATTTCGATGCAAATGCCAAGGTATGCACTTAAATAATTTTCAATTGAAGACATTTCACATGGGTCAACCGAGTCAGGGCTAACCATCATCACTTGAAAGCCTCTCTCAAACGAATTCACATAACTGAGGATGCGAACTGTACTTGTGGATACGAAAGTCAAGACAAAAAAATTAAGACATTTGCTGTGATTAAATTTTCAAATCAACCATGGTTTGCCCAGAGCAATAAAAAATCAGCTAATTTTTTCGAATCGTATTTCAAGCAGAAAAAATTTCTGAATTTCAGAACTTTATCGTTGCCTGCATCGACAACACATGAGAATTGAAAAACTCAATGTAAAATCCACAGGGAAGTAGAACTTTGTACCATAAAACAAAACTCATTTTACAGGTGGAGATCAGAGAGTACCAGTTCGAGCTGTGGCCTGGTTATCTTACATCAATTCGCCAGCATGAGACTGATATTCTGATGTGCGCGGAAATTAATCATAAGATCATGAGACAGGAGACTCTGCTTCACATTCTCCAACGAGTCAAGGAGGAAAGACCTCATGATTATCAGAATGCCTTCAAAGCGGAAGTTATTGGGCTTACAGTGCTGACGAGTTATAATAATAACACTTATCGTATCGATGACGTCGACTACAATCAGAGTCCTCAAGGGACTTTCCACTCAAAAAAGGACAATAAAGACATACGTTATATGGACTACTACATGAACAGATACGGTATTCCCATCAAGGTACCCACACAGCCACTTATTGTGACACGATCCACAGCACGTGATCGTCGTGCTGGGAAAGATGACATCATTTACTTGGTTCCTGAATTGTGCAGAGCTACTGGTAATTAAATTTCAAGTTTTTGCCATTCTTTTACCAATTACTCTTTTGGAAAAAGCACCTACTGAGAAATTGGACATTTTGAATAATTCCTGCCATTGACAATTCTCGAAATGAAAATTAGAATGGCACATTGTATTTTAAGCAACATTAGCGAACATAAAAATTCATGCTCGAAATTAAATGATAAATTTCATGATTGAAAATGGCTGAATCTACAGTGTGGACTCTACTAAACTGTAAAAGATACTTGAATGTTCTCAAATATTTCGAGACACAATTCTAAATATTGATTTCTCCATTCTCACTTTGCCAAAGTTATGGAAATAATTGTAATGCATTTATCTTCCAGGTCTCACTGATAAAATGAGAAATGATTTTCGTCTGATGTCTGCATTGGCCCAGCATACTCGGGTAACACCAGACAAACGTATTGATAAGCTCCTGGCGTTCAATCGTCGATTGAACAGTTCAACAGAAATCAAAGACGAATTCACGAATTGGAACTTGAAACTCGATACCCAACTTGTGAAAGTACAGGGCAGACTGTTGGCAAGAGAAAAAATTTACTTCGGTGATGACAGTCTGGTCGACGCGGGACCTGATGGAGATTGGACGAAAGCCATCAGGGACAATAGTTTGTACATGACAACTCAGCTGAGGCAGTGGGTTGTCGTGGTACCAGAGAGAATTGCTCGTGATGCTAAGGTTAGTCAAACAAAATCAGAATGAAGTTTCTATCCTTAAAATTCCAAGTTTCGGAATCCTGTTTTGTATAATGTGTCCCTATTAATTTTTGTCCAAAACCCATTCTCACCATTTGCACTTTTTTTTAGAGTTTCGTGGCAGCAATGGTTCGCTCCACCAAGAACTTCGTCATAAGTGAGCCCCAGTATCTTGAAATCCGCAATGACAGATCTGACTCCTACACTGATTGTCTCGAAAAATGCATGAGCAAAGTGAATCCTCAGCTTGTCATGTGTATCCTCATGAAGAATCGTGCTGATACCTATTCGGCAATTAAGAAGAAACTGTGTATTGATCGACCAGTACCAAGCCAAGTAGTCACTGCTCGTTGCTTCAATCCCAAGGGAATGATGTCCATTGCAACGAAAGTTGCCATTCAGGTAAACTGCAAAATAGGAGGCATACCCTGGACTGTTCATGTTCCCCTCAATGGGCTCATGGTTGTTGGATACGATGCCTGTCATGACACAAACAAGCGTGGAACAGACTTCGGTAAATATAAAAATAGTTTTCCACCTGATTTATTCATTTTCAATCACCCAATTTGTCAATTAAATTGTGTGACATTTTGCACAGAATTATTATTTTTTTAAACACTAGTTGTTTATGAATAAATACTTGAAATTGTTTAAATTTTCGGAAGAATTTTTTTAGGCATAAAGTCGATTTCTGGTAAAATTATAAATATGAACAAATCTGCTAGGATTCCGAACAAATGATTTTCATGGTGGAGAGTTGATTCTTAATAAAGTATTAATAGAAAATGCGCCTAATTTTCAAAAATTGAAATTTTTTAATTATTCAATTAATCTAAAAATAATGAGATAATGAAAATATTAACATAATTTATTTTTTAAGGGGCGATGGTTGCTTCCTTAGATAAGAAGTTGAGTCGTTACTTCTCAGCAGTATCAGCACACACATCTGGCGAGGAGCTGTCCAGTCACCTCGCTACAAACATGGTGAAGGCTCTGGACAAGTACAAGGAAGTCAACAAAGGTAGCCTCCCAAGTCACATAATCATCTACAGAGACGGTGTTGGCGAGGGACAGATTCCATTCGTCGTGGATCACGAGGTCGTGAACGTGCAGGAGGCAATTGCAAAATTCTACGGGAGCCTCCAGGCAGTTAAACTGGGCTACATCCTCGTCACCAAGAGGATCAACACGAGATTCTTCCTGGGCACCAGAAACCCCCTGCCAGGCACAGTGGTCGACGATGTGGTCACTAATCCAATGAAGTACGATTTCTTCCTGATCTCGCAGGGTGTCAAGCAGGGCACTGTGGCCCCAACATCGTACAGTGTCATCTACGACACACTCTCACTCAATCCAGATAAGATACAGCTGTTGACGTACAAAATGACGCACATGTACTTCAACTGCAGCACTACAATGAGACTTCCAGCTCCAGTACAGTTTGCCCACAAACTTGCTTTTCTGGTGTCACAATCAATCCACACAGCACCCACCAATCAACACCTCGAGAGCCTCCTCTACTTCCTGTAGATCCGAAAGAGTTAAAGAGAGACAAAAAAGAACAGGATTCTTTTTACTATTTGAATGAAAAAGTATTTTTTATTTTATAGATCAGACAGAAATGAAACTGAACCAGTCTTGGGACCAAAGATTAAGTAAAGAAATCAATTTTCTTTGAATTAGTTGGAAAGGGGAGAAGAACAGTACTTTCAGTGTCATTTGAAAACTTCTAATTTAACAAATCTTCTTTATGTTTTTGACGAAAATAGGTGGGCATGGATTTTTTCTTTTTAAAAAAGTATTGACTGCTTTGAATGTGTTCACAGTAATTTGTGGTGAAATACGTTACCATCTTCTTTTTTTGGTAATTCTTGAATGATGTCATTAATATGGAATTTACGATGTTCATAATGCCAGTTGGATTATGTATAAATTTTTGGAAGCAATTCAGAGATTTTATTTTCAAGTTACAAGTTAAGACAACTATTTTGATAAAATTGGTGTTTGGAAGCAGAATTGAATGAACTCTGAAAGAATTCATACATAATCAAATTACCACGATGACATTCTGTGCAAATTTCGAATTAATGACATTTTTTTTTTAATGCAACCCTTTTCATTTTTATTTTTAATTGTTGACTAATAGTGACTTAAGGATTATTCCAGAATCTAAGAATCAGAGGGGAAATGATACAAAAGTGAAAATAATTGTGCAGTTTTCTGCTGATAATAACATTCAGTATGTGAAATGGGGTTTTGATATTTGTTAAGAGCTTTTTGGGAAAAAGACTTGGAAAATTAGAGGAAAATTTACTTGAGAAGTCCGAAAAATTCGCTCCTTCACGTTAATTATTTTCATTTGGCAAAATGATCAATTCCTTTCTTTCAATTTTCTCTATAAAAAAGTCAACTTCTCCCTCTGATATAAATTTTCTAATCTTTCGTGAATATTTGGTGCCAGTACAAAATCTGGAGTTTATAAACATTTGACAGTCATGAAAAATATGGAAATGGATGTAACAAAACTGAACAATTCAGATTGCAGTATCTGAACAACTTTATTCAGATGATGCATTAAAACCCTCTTGCTTTGAGAAATAAAGCAAAGTCCATATAGATTAATTTTTCGTTCGTTAGCATTTGAAAATGCTAAACTATGACTAAAACGTTGTACTCCTAAGTTATATTTTGTCACAAGGGACAAATTCCACTTACGCTATATTTTGTGCTTTGTAATAACATTGAAATGATAAAGCGCAATTCGTTCGATAACAAATTTAAAGATTAATTCATTTAAACCAATATTTTTTCCTGGAGGTGATCAGAGCTTTTCCAATTCGAAAAAAATGTAAAATTGGCGGGTCACTATCGTGTTACTCACAACCTGCGCCACCTCTCTTCGGCACATTCTAGATCGTAACCCGTTCGTAAAAAAGCCCTAGCTCGCCGCTGGAAACGGGAAAAAATGAAACCAGCTCCCCTCTCCTTTCTTTCCGACCCGCAAACCCAACCCTGCGAAATATTCCACATTCGCTGTTGGAAATTTTTTGAAATTCCATGGAAGATATATTAAATCTCATGAGAGTGACATTGAATCGGATTTAAGGAAAAAATGGTTGTGAAATTTCAAGTTTTAAGTAGAATTCACGGAAATTTAGGATTTTTTTCTGTTTTTTCTGAATTTTCAGAGAATAATTGAGCCGAAAAATCCACTATTTTATTAATTTCCAGATCATTTGAACAGAAAATCAATGGAATGTTTGATTTTTCAATGACAAGATTTACTGAAATGTCAGTGAAACTTGGACAGGATAAAAATTGAGACGAAAATTTTCAATCAACAGTATTGAATAAAGAAAAGTAGCGCGCGTACCTCAAAGCGAAAAAACTGCGGCCAGCGCCATAACTTGCGGCACTCGCCGCATCGTCTCGCCCCGACGTTGCGGCAGCCATATTGAAAAATTACCAGTGTGTAATGTCTGCATGTGGTAATAGGTGGGGGACGTTTGTTAATGTGGTGTGCATTTCGTTCGTGAAATCTGTCACAAATGGGTAATTATAATAATCGTTATGTTTACAAATAATTTCCCCGATAACAGACGAGTTGGGATCGACGATTATATCCGTGTGAATTTCTTGGCTTGGCGGTACAACAAAAAACATTTTTCTCTCAATGTTGGAGTAAAGTGACCGCGGGGGCGGGGGGCAGTTGGAGCCCAGGCGGCCGTTCGATCGCGAGTGAAGAACGGGTCTTGTGTCAACTGTGGATACGGTTTCGCCTGCGTATTTCCGTTCTCGGCTTCCTAACACCTTGTAATACTCCGAAAATTCGTAATCCCAGTTTTCCCCAGCGTCTCAAGAGTCGGATAAATCTATATTTCAGTTGAAACGAGTGAATATATTTTTACACCGTCAGTGAAGTTTTGTTCTGTTCTTGTTCTCGTCAGTTCAGTTCTGTTGATTTCACCGAACCCGAGCGACTCCGGCGAAAGAACTCTTTCACAAAACTTTTTGTCAGCAGTTCAGCTCCATTTGGGGCTTATTATTTTTCACTCGCATGGAACGAGTCCCGTAATCGCGAAATTCTCGCTTTCTAGGTTACTAACCAGGACGTGCGGTCATTATCATTATTATATCTGGGGTTTGTGAGTTTTTCGAGGGATATTTTTGGTTTGCAAGTGTTTGATGAATTGGATCGAGTGAGTTTGAGGGTTAAGGTGGAGTTTTCAGAGTGCAATCGGGGACTTGTGGGGAGTCTGAATGTGTCAAGCCCAGGAGGGACTCCGATCCGCCCCCGCGAACACTGTTACCACTGTTGGCTTTACTAGAACATTGAGACGTTGAGGAGACGTACAGAAATTGAGAATTCATATATGTCAATACGTTATTTTCTTTTTGTTGACTATGTAAGTAGACCAATGCAGCGTCACAGTCGTTCGGTGTAGAAATATACTAATTTACTGTGCACTGTTGGAAATTTTTTGAAATTTCAGGCAAGGTATTGTAGTAAATCAAATGAGAGTGACATTGAATCGGATTTAGGGAAAAAATCGCTATGAAATGTCAAGTTTTAAAGAGAATTCACGGAAATTCATGAGTTTTTAGTAGAACATGAATATTCGGAAATAAAAGGACATGAATTTTCAATTTTTCCTTGAATTTTCCTGATTTTTTTCCCCCGAAATCACTCAGTGTAACTATCCTGAAAATTCAAAACTATATTTACCGAAATTTTCTGGTTTTCTATTTATGTTCAGGAAAAAATGGAACTGAAATTCACAGTTCTCTCTTATTTTGCCACGAAATACTGAATTTTCAATTACGAATTTCCTTAAAATTACAGACAAAAAATATTACAATCATGTTGAATTATGAGATGATTATGCTACATATGACCTTGAATGAACACTCCATTATTTTTCAGTTTTATCAAATTGAAGATTTTCTTACGTAAAATAATTTGGAATAATTTTAAATGTTAACAATTGTCAATGGAGTTCATTCAGAGTCATCTGTGGCATAATCATTCCATAAATCAACATAATTGTAACATTTGGAGATGAACTTGGACTCCTTGGGAATAGAGATTTTTTTTTCGCTGATTGACAACCATTTTGAGAATTTTTGCAATGGAGGAGGTTTTGGGAACTGTGAGTGAATTCAATAACTCTTTTCACTTGTACTCGTTGTAGGGAAATTTAAAAAATAGGATAAATATATGTGTAATGTTCGACCTCGAAGGACTCGACTGCGAGGTCGAGTCAATGGTGAACGAGTTTCCAGTCCCTTCACTTTCAGCTGGAGATTCTGTTGCATAGACATTATTCCCTTGGACCTTTGAAGAGATTTATGAGCTAATTTCACCAGAATTCTATGAAATTGAGTAGGATGAGTTATCCAGTAGATGGACGAGCTACTTTTGGATCGGAAATTACGCAAAAAATGCTGAAATGTGAATTGTTGCTTTGAATTTTCACTAACTGTTGGGATTCTTAATTCTTCAGATGACTGCAAAATTTCATACTCTGCATTTTCAGCTGAGATTTTTTTTTCCCTGGGAGGAGTTCACATTTTCTCTGCCAATTCTCTATATTCGGTATCGTCTGCCTGACAATAAACGTGTTTCGAGATTGAGTCTAACTTTCCTCAGGATTTTCTAAGAGTTTTTGTAGCGAGTTCAAGTTTCTCCGGCTATTTTCACGTTTGTCTAAAGTAGTGGTGATGATTTTTTTACTGAGGGAGAAACCACAGGGAAGGTGGGTGGGTAGATGGATGGCAGAATCTCTAGAGACAACAGGAAACTTGTATAAATTTTTTTCAATCTTCTACTCTCAATTTTGGGACCTGAATAATTAATTTTTCATTCACAAACGTTCGAAATATTGCTCATTAGTTAATAATTAATTGTTAAAATTATTAATTAAATATAGGGGAATTAGAAAGAATTGAACTTCATGCAAGTATTGATTTAGAGAATTTCGAACAACACAGCGACGTTTAACATTCAGAATTATTCCAAATTATTTTACACAAAAAAATCTCAAATTCGAAAAAATTGAAAAATAATAGATTTAATTACTATTATTATTATTTAATTTTATTTTTAACCACTGGCCTGGAGAAATACGCTCCCAAAACATGGATTCTTCTCCTAAAAGAATGATTCCTTGGCACAAGTAAATTTTTTCTCAACGTAAATCTGTGCACATAACAGATTTAACCTGTCATGGTACGCTCCACTAGTTAATCGTGGGGACATGATAAAATTCATCACCTCGAATCCGCTAATAACCGCAGAGGCCAATCACTACGAAATAATAACAGACAATGGGAAATTCAATAATTCGCTGTAGTTGTCAAGCCGGATATAACGTCAAGCGCAATCAAATTTGGCAACGGAAATCGAGTGATTTCTTTCGGTGGATCGGAAGGGGGGAGGGGACGTCTACCTCAGGGTCGTTCGACAATTATCGGAGCAAATGGGTTCACCGACACGATGAAAACTCGGCAATTATTCCATTCTATGCCGAATTTTCTCGTTTCCGTAGATCTTTGCTTTTTTTTACTGTTTATGCTTTTGTGCGATTTCACTCGTCGCCAGGAAATCCTCCTGTGATCGAAGTGGTCTTTCATTAGACCGTCTGTTGCTGGCAACTGCTTGTTACCCTTTGGCACTCATCCCTGAACGGATGTACTGGAGAACATGACAGTAATTACGCAACGTGGGGTTCAATCAACGAAAGAGTGGAATTTTGGCTTTTGGGGATATTTGGAAAAATAATTGAAGAGAACATAATTGTTGAGAAAGTTGTATCAATTTGAAATTTAGATTTTACAGAATATCGTGCAGCGATTTTTGACCCATTGACCCATTATGATCAAAAAGTTTGAAAATTCAATTTTTAGTTCAATTGTTCAATTGAATTAATGGAAAAGTTCAATGGAAAGTAAAAATTGCCAAAAGTAAAAAGAAGTCTCGTATATCAAGAATTCCATTGATTTTTCTATTACCAATGAAAATGTCAAACGAAAAATGGCAAAATGTTGGAAGTAAAGGGGAATAATTACGCCTAAATCAATACTAAAGTTGCTCAAAATTAGTGTCAAATTGTAAAGGTCAAAGTATCTCGGAGCCCTGGTGCATGTGCACCTGAGTAGATAACAAGTGCACGATCTAGACACCACGGTGCACGGTCTGTACTAACCAGATACCAGAAAATGTGCATTCCACTTGGTGATTCATTCGGATACAAAAATTGTTTCTGTCTTCAATTTTATTTTACTCTGAGTCAAAACGCAGATTGTTCTTATCGGAAATTCATGACATTAAGAGTTTAATTCCAAGGCAAATATGTTGCCAAGAGGAGAAGAATATTTGAGAGATTTCACAAAAAACACACTAAAATGAGTAAACTGTGAATATTTCAGATATTTTGCTACGTTAATAACAGAGAAACACTTATTTTTGCGTTTTTCTAATTTTTTCAGTTTTACAGTTTTCATGTTACTGAGTTAAAAAAATTATAGATATTTTTTTAATTCAGTCACATGATAACTGTTAAAACTAAAAAATGAGAAAGCAGAAAAAATAAATGGTTGACAAAATATAAACGAAAATTCAAAGTCGAAATTTGGAGGCCAAAAGCCATGACGCTTTCTGTGAAATATCTCATTCATGCAGGGAAAATATGGGATGTAAGGAAGCATGAGAATACGAGAATCAAGTCGAATGCGAAAGCGTTTTGGTGAATCAGCAGGAGAGTGTTATACTCTTTTTCAACGTGTGGTTATACGCGGAAGGAAGCTGACCTCTTTTTAAAACTCAAAGTCTGGCCTCAATCAACACCTATTCAACTTGCCTCATCAAGTGATGCATTCCAATTGAAAATACGTCAATGAGGTTTACGTGCACAATCGAGGGTGGGAAGGGTTAAGGGTGAAAATTATGGAGTTATAATGGGAAAAGCAATTTTTTAATTAATGCAGGACTATTTCAAACGAAGAAGTCTCATTTTTATTATAGTCTCAACTGCGAATACATTTTCTGACATTTTCCTCAAGTTATTGAAATTCTTTCTTGTCAAATGGGTTGACAAATTCGTAGCATTGACTCATGACGTTGAAAATATGAATAAAGCAGACGATCAAGACGAAAAATATTAATTAATCAACGCAAACGGAAGAGGAATAGGCGCTGGATCGTTTAGTGGTTATTCAATATGGAAACTATGAATGATTTTCTTCTGCGTAATATTTCTGTTTTCCGTTTTCACCTTATCTCAGGAATGTCCTGATGCACCTCGTGAATTTGCTATTTTCCTGTACGAATAAATCATTTCCAAAGTTTTACTGCAATTCCCTGAGAAGTTATAAACACGAATCGAGGTTGTTATCATTTTCCGTTGATATATTTTTTCTTAGAGTTTATTGTTAAGTTGAAAAGATCCACCCATGACTGTCCATTCATTTCTGAGCTTGAGTAAACATGATCTTATTTATTTGGAAACCCCCAAAAACAAGTGAATAATTGCATTGTTCATACTTTCGTGAGCGTTTGCTTCCATTTTTTACCTCGCACTGTCGTATCAGCGTTTATGCGCTTTCCATCAAAACCATCGTAGGATTTTGATATTAAAATGTAATCCACCAGTCCCCGGTGCAATCACCGTAGCACGAAAGCCGGCTTTCGCTTTTTCACCACTCATTACAATTATTTTTTTTTTCCATTCTTTAATTAATACGGATAGGAGGAAGGAAATTATATCCAGAATTAATTTCATAACCTTGATAAACTTTCATCTTTGAAATTGTTATTTGGGAATTATTTCTTCTAATAAATTCTTCATTCTCTGTTTTTTGCAGGCGTAGGGGCAGAAGCTGCAGCACCGAAGCGCTGGAGGGTTTGAGGCAGTAAACCTGGCTGGCCTACAATGTACAATACCATGCGGAGCACACTGCAAACTGTTCCCGAATCCGTGCCCGCCGACCGTGTTACTAACTCAAAAGTAAGTCGCTGAAACAATGAATTCATTTTTTTCCCCCCAATATTCTCATTCATTTTGTCTGTTGGTTAATTTCCGTTGTGAATAGTAAGCGCTGATGGAAAAAATTATCTTTATTGAGATGTTTCTTTCTTGGTACAAGTATTATACACTTGAAGCAATTTCAAATGAATGAGATCTTACGGTAAATATCAATTATTTCTTCTTGAGGTACATTTACTTGAATCAAATAGAAGAAACTTCAATTCTGGAGAAGTTCGATTTCTCCCAATCAAATGTATCTCAAGAAGAGGTATTGGTATTCACTGTGAAATCATATTTATTTGAAAATTAACAACCAAATGATAGTTGATTCAAATAAAATTCTCTTGATAAAACTAATTTTTTTCTGTCAGTGAGGGAGAAAGTTAGAATTTCCATATGCATCTGAGGTGTTTTGGAGACTATCTTGGAAATAATGGGGTTCAGCGGAGTTGATCAAGCCTTTTGAAGGTCCCAGTGGAAAAAGGATCGCTTCATGAATTCACCTGAATCTCTGGATTTCTGAGATATTCGAAAATTAATGTGCAAGGTTTCAGACTTGTCTTGTTTGAGGACTTCATAACTGAATTATCATCATTAATTCATGGCAAATTTGTGATAGTGGATACGTCATTCTGCTTTTTTAAACCATGTACGTTTAAGGGTTTGGGTGTTCGATGTTATGTTTTTCGAACAATTTTAACTGAACTGGGATTTTTAAATCTTTATGTTTTTGCGTCATCTATATGAGGTATTCTGTGTCAAATGAGTGAACGGGTGACTCATTTGACCAGAAAAACTATCTCTCAATTTTTTCGGATTTTTTCCACAGCCCATTTCGGAAATATAATTTTTTTCTTTTTTTTTAATAACTGCAGTTCTATTCATCCGATTTTGATTTATGACACGTCAAAATTTTCAATTTTCTATCATCTATAAGAATATTTTGAGTAATTTTTTCCAATCCCTACGTGCTCATAATACCGAATTTTCAAAAAAAAAAAAAAATTGAAAAACTTGAATTTGGTGTTTCCCCAGGAGATTGCCTCATCATGAAAAAGGTCTCTTGCTAATCGTTCATAAAAACACTAATTTCCTAGACAACAATCCGATTAACAATGTCCTCATTCCACTCTAAATTATCAGCCAGAAAAAAAAATTTCAATTTGCTTCATCAAGAGTTTTCGCGCAATCCAATGATTTCTTAAAATTATTCATTGATCTCAATTTTGATGTTCAACTCGGCGACTAGCGCGTGACAATTTTCGTGATAAATCATTCAAGCTAATAATTCATTCTCCGCCCCTTAGCCTTCTCTCTCATTGTGAAATTTCCTCTCCAGTTGAATCAACGCCCTCCTCCGACATTTAAAAACCCCTGAGCAATTTCTTGTAAAACATCAACGCATAAAGAGAAAAATCGTGATGAACCGAGTAGAGTAAAACAGTTCGATTGTCTTCAATTTGTAAAGCATAAATTTTCACAACAGGGATATTGTGCATTTGATTGGTTACTTCACAGTCTCAAGGCACGTGCTGTTGATATAATACAAGCACTTGTTAATAGGGATGTAACGGACAAAGCTCACCGGTCAATTTATCGTCATTTTACACGTAAATTACGCGTCACTGACCGAAGGCCAATTACTGGCCATTTTTGATCGGGAAAAAAGTAACGAAATTTCGCGTCACTAAAATGACCGATGAAAATCTTGACGGTCATTTTACATCTAGACTAGATAGAGGGCGACAAATATCGTTCATCATGTTGTGCGTCAAGTCCGAAATGGTCAGAGAACGGTAAATTTACGGCTGACTTGACGCATGTCAAAAATTACCGTCATTTTGCATCCCCACTTGTTAAAGATTCTCGACTGAAAATATGTTCAGTTGTTTGATAATTAGATTGAAAGTATCGCACTGCATGTTTCAATCCTCTGCGGTTAGATGTCGCACGTTGTTCTTCAGGATCGAAAAACTTTCAATTCAACTCGAAACAAAGAGATCCGATCAATTAGCCCCCCATGTATAGATATTCCAAATTTTTATTTTTTTCCTCATTGAAGTAGTTTTGAAGAAAATTGCGAGCTGATAAAAAATATTTGCTAGTCAGTACTTTTTTAAAAATAAATTTTTGAAAAATCACCCCTGAAAAAAAGACGTTTTCCCCCCTACTTCATCATTTCCAAAAAATTTTATCACCAATCGGTAGCAAATTGTTTGAAGATTTTTGCGAGTTAAGAAAAAATCGTCAATGCACTCCTATTATTGGGTAAATTAACAATTCCAACACCATCTTTAGAGGTCCTAGCACGCCATTTCTCGACCCGCTCTTTCATTTGAGCTCAAAAAAACATTCATATCTTGTCTGAC